TCGACGAAAACACGAGTTGGAACAGGCTCTGGATGAGCTCGCATGGCAGAAGAAACAGGTGATACTGATGATAATAACAATAAATAAAAGCATTCTGGTGGGGTAATCGCTTGTACACCCTGAACTGATTATCACAAGTTAGATCAAAATTTGAAGAAAGGATTGTGGTCAATGTGCCAGTGCGAGCACGTTACATATTTGTTTCATTGTTGGTTTATGGAACGATTGTTTGTGATTGGATGAAACGTGAAGGAATGGTCGATACAGCCTGTTAGATAGAAAGAAAAGTTATGCTGTTTTTGAACGTATAAACTATGAATGCGCAACTAAGGGAAGAGAATGGAGTATAAGAGGAGACCGGACAAGTGTGGTGCTGATACTCGAACAAATCACCTACTTATCGATCCATCTAAATTGTTCAATAAACTCCGTAAACAAATAAAACAGCATTTCACCAAAAACCCCGATGAATCGTTACTTGTCCGGTTCCTGTCATTTCTGTATGACTGACTGCTTGTGAATCCGTTTATTCCACACATTTGTATTTCATTCCCTTTTCAAATGAGAGTAATGGAGGGTTTGATCTCATTAATTGGTGTATATCACAGTGGACACGGCAATTAAAGCGTGAACTGAATAGCTAGAAAACATTAGTCAGCTATTTCTACCGTATTGGGTCTGATCAACAGTGTGTAAATCCATTGACCCAACTGAGAATTTCATTCGGGACCTCATGTTTAGAACAGTGGCATACTAGCCATTGGACCATTGAACAGCTGATCTGACCGTTTTCCGTTCTATCGATACATGATATCCTTCCAAGCTTTTTCTGGGTATACCACACCTATTTTTATCCAAGTTCGTCGAATGCCGACCATAGACCCCTGAGTGGCTGTCTGTCCCCCTTTGGAATTCTTTAACAATACTTATGTTGTGTTATTCTACCGGAATTTCTAACTGCAAACATTCAGGTTGGAAGTATACAGGACCTTACGCTGCACTACGTGGTTGATGACTAACACCCTATACACGTAGACACTTGATTTAAAAGTCATCAGTAGTCAGTTAAAACCATAAATTAGAAAATTTATTCGTTGCATTTTGATTGACTTGTCTACAATTATCTTTTGTTAGTGAATCAATCAAAGTGACATTGATTGATATATTGGTTAGAACTGACCACCCTCAGACTTCACCTTCACGCACATTCCTCAGTTCTTCCAGTCAACCATACACTCGGAAGCACTAGGCTCGAGTTTCACTTGTATTAGAGGTCATCGTCTACTCAATCAATCAATCAATCAATACCAATTATCCCACATGACTACTCACAAGTAACTATGAGTTAAATGCAAAGTGACATTGTCGAAAATTGTTCTTATCGGACAGACCGAAGATGAAATGGCGGAACTAGAGAACGATCTGCACCAATTGGAATTGGCCATACAAAACATGATTCCGGCAGAGAAATTAGCTCAAACTCGTTTGGAACGCCGAACCTACAGACCGGGTGTTGAATTGTGTCGAGATGCACCACAATATGGTCTAACCGACGAAGTCTTACAAACGCAGGTCAGCAAAGAAGCATTGTTTGAAAAGCAGCGTCAATGCAGGTAAATTGTTTATACTTTAGCATGCATGTGTAAAATGCGTCTAACACGTTTCTGTTTTGTAAACTACCCTTTTCAAATAAGTTTGGTAAACCGCATAATTAATATCCATATGGTTGCGCTTTTCTTTTAGACCGAAACTGCTTACTTAAGGCACACAACTTCCACACACTTAAAGCAATCACATCCATCATGACATCAGGTGCCATACTCGTACTGTGAAGCAACCGCTGATTGGTCGATCGTACCACCGCGCATTCACATGAATACTAGGCTAAGTAGTCGGATCGCCCAATGGACACAACGCTTCATCTGCTCACCTATAACACGGAACTGTTCCTCTTGATCAGGTTACTCCCATATAATAAATCATAGATGGGGCAAAGAAAATCAGACATATATACCAGTTTGCGATCAATAGCAGTCTGGGAGTTTTATAGAGTCGTCCTATTAGACGATCAACACACATTTTAAATAAAACTTAATGTAGCAAACGTTTTCATGGCAATGCTAGAAGAAACACTCTCGAAGTTTCCACTAAAAAATACAAGATATGTCGACGAAATATTGTTTCGTGGACGAGGATGGTAATCCTAATGAGCTACTGGCAACACTTAGTTGCGCGCATACAAATAGTAAACTTACTCTAGAGAAGGAAGCTGATGACCAGATGGTATCGTGATGTTTGCCTCAAACGGCACGAATAAGGGTTTTTCTAACGCACGGTGTATAGAAAATGTACGTGACCGGGATAGTCAACTCATTTTCGAAGTTTTGTACTATTCCAAAAAGTGAAACTTGATTCACCGTGTCATCAGTGGAGATTTCAAAATCTGTTTGGCTGATATAACAAATTAGAACTCCTGCTCAGGTTCTTACAAAAAATGGATAACCGGATCCATTAGTGGACGGTATATAAAGCGCCAGATAAACGAGTGGAAAACTGTTTGAGTAGAAAAAGAGTTGGATAAAGGTCTGACGAACAGAACACTTCAGGCTCGTCAGGCACTTGCAGCCAAAACCTCCCAACGATAAAGAATAATCAATAGCTAGGGAAACGAGTCAGTGAGCGGACAATTGTCTGCGGATATTCCTGATCATGTCTTTACCCATCATATAGTGGAAAATGCCTACGTAATGACGGCAACTGGCTCGGTTAAACGCCATCGATCGCAGGTAGAGGGAATAGAATGTTTTTGTGTGCGGAAGAAGTTCTTATGTGGTAATGTGATCCTTTTCTAGTTGGGTTAACGGACACGTCATGTTTTGTCCTGTTCTTCACATTAGACCAAGGTAATTTAAGCATTTGATCCAATCTTTTGGCGATCGGCTTGGTCATTGCTAGTGTCCAAACACAGACTGTCTTCGATCGAATGATTGGTATGCTATAATCAACTTCGAAAGCTTCCACGGGTTCAATCTACAGTCTGGTGTCTATGATGTGACCCATTTTCGCGCTTGAGATAGTGTCGGTTTACTTCCAAATTAGCTATCGTGAATGGTGCTCCTTAACGTCGTGAAACAAGCTCAATACCGTGCAATCTATGTGCCACGCATCATAGAAGTATCTAAAAAATACATTAACACGGAATTGCTCAGTTTCAGCCGTTTGTCTTTCATTTGCATTCTCATCACCGGTGATGTAAGGAACATCGAGCTAAGTTTGGTTTTGAAGACAGTGGAATTTACAGCTATTCTCAGTGACTGTATCAAACTTTTGGCTTGTGAGTCGGCCTTAAACAGTATCCTTATGAACACTCCTTCTTTGGGGATATAGACCGAGCATTCCTCTTCCGGAGTAAGCCGAATATTCTTATCAATAAACCTTTTTGTATAATCATTGCCCTGCAGATATTTGCAGATACACCGTAGTTCTTGAATTAATCTCACCGCCAAATAAATTCACCGGGAGATAGACACAGCACTAAATTACGCTTGTATTTCACAGGGAAGAAACTATAGAAGTAGTTGAATTGACAATTCCACGTTTTCATTCTGTGGACTTGTCTTCTCACTGACCCAGCTTCTTTTCTCCATACAGTTAAATCCAGAAAGGTCAATATTTTGTCCGTTTCAATGTGTACAATGAATTCCAGTGATTTGTGTGCTTCGGTAAATAATTTCAGCGTTAGTGGCGCAGTCGCGATATCCGGCTTTCTGTTAAGGGTTGAGTTTATGCTGCGGCAGTTTGGCCAGTTCTGCTGTACGGCGCAGAAACTTGACCATTAAGGAAACAGGATAAAGATAGACTGTCGGTGTTCGAACACCGCTGTCTACGCAGCATTGCACGAATCTGGTCGAGCAACCGGACGAGCAATGCAGAGGTTATGCACAGAGTTTTAGGTAAATGCGGTCGCCCACTCGGACAAGTGGTCGACCTCCATAGATTACATTGATTGGGGCATGTTACCCATGCCACCAAGTAGGTTGCAACGGTAAGCGATGTTCGCCGAGGCAGGTAGTGGGCAGAAGAAAGTCAAGGGTGGTTAAGCTAAGACCCGGAAAACCCTAACCGGGATTCACATAGGTCACATAGGTCCCGTTAGGCTCCCTGGATGGGGACCTCGAGATGATCATGTCCGATGGTTAGAGACACTGGGTGATATGGCTGGATATCGTGAACAGTCGCGTTCATGCCTCTTGTCGATTTCTCTCCAAAGTTAGTGCAGTGAACTCCTAAATTTTCTCCTCGATCCTAATTTGTACCTGTCATGTTTTTCTCCTTATGTTCATCCAAATGCTCGGCCAAAAGACAGCAACCAATACTGGCGCACGATAGTGCATGGTTAATGGTTGTAGAAACTGAAAACTGGTGGTATGCCTTTTTTGATCGGTAGCACAGAAGATATTATTCGTTGAGTAGGGATTCTGGGACAACTACGTCCACCTGTCGATAGATAGTATCGTCAGATAGAAACTGTACATTAAGTGTGTAACGTAGTAACCGCTTCGTTAGGTTTATGACCGGGACATCAAAATTTATATTTAGCTTTCGTATTTGGTCACAGGTAAATTCCACTGTCTCCATCAGCGGTAATTGGTGAAAATTTAAACGATATCCAAGGAAAAATCGTCTTGTTTTGCAAATTCAGGTCTTCTATGTTGACACAAAACTAAAAACTGTCTTGGAGGCCGTGCATAGTAAGTCTAAGTAGGGATGGTATTAGTAATTCGATCAACCACCGTGCCGTTCTGTAGTGTGGTGAATTCACTATTGTCATTATAGACAAAACTGGGACTCCTTGTTTTTGGAGCTCGGGAAGACTATACAATTACGGGTTATCTAACCCACTTGATTTCAGTTTGTCGAATGTTGCATCGTCTTGGTGCTCCTGTGTCTTTAGTGCCATCAGTAAGTAAATCTTGGATTTCGACTTCCACCTTTTCTGTTTAACCCCTTCTTTTATTGCATCTAAACAAGGTTCTATCATCCGAAATAATTTCAGAAAGCTTTGAAACATCGTCTTCGTTCATAATAACCACCCCGGTGCCTAAATCTGGTTTAAGCAAAATGACATCTTTGTTAATGTGGAGTTCCCTCAAAGCACGTATATGCTGACGCTTAAGCGAACTACGATTATGTTGGAAACTTTCATTTCTTATTGCAGCGTGTCACCTTCCATTATAATATACTGATACACCATTTTTTCTCTGCTCTGATTTTACCCCCAACAGACATGCACTGGATGCGTTACATAAGCAGCTAAATCGAATCAATGATGATATTGCTGTGAAACAGGCCAGTTTGGCACTGGAGAATCAGTGTATTGAGTTACGTTATCAACGTATGGATCGGGCACAGCCCCAGGCGGATCCGGATCCAGCTACCGGGAAAACACATGCTACGGAAATGCTAAGCACAATTAAGGAGCCCCCGACCACAATTGCACCAAATTTGGCTACCAAACTGCTTGCATAGTCCAGAGTTGGTCGTCAGTTGGACGTGGAAGTCAACTGTTCCGTGACTGTTCTCAGTCTGGTTGCGTTTTTCGCCCGAACAGGTGCACAGAACCCCATGCACACACATATACTGTGATTCCGTCTGCTCTGTTTTGATTGATCTCGATCTGGATATACCGATCGGATTGCCTGCGTCTGCTGTACTTTATCCAATTCCGCTGATCACTGCGGATCTACCGTGATTGTCAGAGAATCTCGGGCCGCAGGAAGTTGAATGACTTAGGTTCTTTTACAATAGAACTACGGAAAAGATGCGCAAAAAAGCTACTAAAAGAAGTGTCTGACTTGTCCTTTGTGTTTTTTCTTGTTTCTCTTTAAGCAGGAAAATAAATCCGGGAAAAAATAACAATATCACGGATCAAAAGAAATGAGGAAATAAAATTGTAGGTTTTTGGTCGTTTAATTGACTAAGAGCATTTTTCTGTGTTCAATGAATTTCGATGAATTTCCGATATGAACGTTACCTCACTCATTTTGAAAGTTTTGCCCGCAAACTTGTGCTGATTTCTTCTGTGTGGAGGTATGAACCTCATTGCGAGGTAACTCAAGTCAGATACTCTAGTCATATTCGTGCGTGTTTCTTCATCTTTATCGCACTATATTGTCGTCCACAAGATAATCGCTGCTACGACAGGAGTCATGATCATCACTTTCTCCACGTCCATAATCAGACGTGTAGTAAACTGACTAAGGCGAAGTCACCCCTTTCCCCAAGGGCTACAACAATTGACGCGCATCAAAGTTTCATCCTCCGACACACACAAACAAATTAATTACCAAAGCGAACCATTCCGAGGCATCTATCACGTTGGTGATGATGAATTTTTCAAACGTTCTTCACAACTGATTCCTTTGATTTTACATCTGATCCGATCTTTAATTTACCTAAGATCATTGGTATGAGGATTGTTAACAATGGCGTGTGTTATTATGTAATAATTATTATCGGTATACACGGTAGTCTTGCTCCGGTATCTTCTGTGGTGTATCCGGTAAGACCACATTCTATGAACTCGAAAAGTTTCTGGCTCCGGTTCAGTCCAAACGTGTGTGTGATAGAAGATTAAATAACAGTGCAGTGCAGTTTGTACAACCATTAACCATGTACTTTCGTGCGCCGGTTTTTGTTGCTGTCTTTTGGTTACCCATTCAGATTAATGAGTAGGAGAAAGACAGGAAAGTTGAAGCAGAGTCAAAGAGAAAATGGATGATTTGAGTAGACTAACGTTGCGAAGAGATGCAGAAGATGCACGTACGGCACTGTCTACGACACTCGGCCGTATCACTCAGTGTCTCTAATCACCGATTACCATGATTTCGAAGTCCTCAGCCAAGGAGCCTAACGCAACCTTTATGAATGAGTCTCCTGGCTAGAGTTTTCATACCCTCGATCCAGGTATTTTCTCCACCGACTATCTCATCAAACATCACACGCCGTGGTAACCCATTTGGTGACATGTGTAACACATGCCCCAATCAACGTAATCTATGGAGGTCGACCACTTGCTCCAGTGGGCGATCGCAAATACCTAAAGCTCCGCTCCTAACATCAACACTGATCTTTCGATTGCCCCACCAGATTCGTGCGTTGCTGTGTCGACTGCGATGTTGAAACACCGACAGTCTATTTTTATCCTGTTTCCTTAATGTCCAAGTTTCTGCGCTGTATAGCAGCACCGGCCGCAGCATACACCCAACCCTTCACAAACAGCTGGATGTCGTGGCGGTACCACAGATGTCCTAGGTTGGCAATGCCAATCGAGCCTTCTGCATTTCAGCCGGCATTTCATTCGTGATCCGTCTTACGGATGAACTATAGATGTCTAAATAACAAAACTTGATTCATGATTTGTGTGATATTGCCAGATTACTCAGGTCAAGGGAAGTGAATTTTCTTGTAGAATCCTTAACCGGAACCTTTTACTAGCCGAAGCTTGACCAGCAATGCAACGGGACGGTGTGTAAAAACTGCAGTCCGTTGGGGGCCGATATCCAATTTTCATCGGATCATATGTAATACGAACGTACTCCAGGCTCTCGCAGCGCAGCATGAGAACAGAAATGAGCAACCGGGTGTCTCTCGGCTCCCATGCTCACAGCTCGAGACAATACGGAGCTTTTCGGGCGAAAGCTGATGACGGGTGGACGACGTTCGAGCGACGATACGACTGGAACCCGGGGTGACCAGCAAACACTGGTAGACATATTCTCCGTAGTTCGTGGTTAACGATAAATCTATAAAATGCCATGAACTAAAACGTTCCAGTGAGATACAAGAACTCATGATAAAATATTACAGGCGCGGTTGGCAAGCGTTACCTGTGCACTATTCGAACGAGGTTAAACCTGCAGGTTGATCAATACACCTCGATTCCCTGTAGAGCGGGTGACCACTGCCACAACCGATGTGTACGGATGTGGATCGTACGTCTCTTCTTGGCTGATTTGGAATCAAAAGTTTTAGTTAACTCCCCTAGGTGAACTGACAATATTTCACCGACCCGAGTGTTGACTTTGATGGGGAAACACATCCGCAACGGGAATACAGTGAATAGGACTTCTTCAACAGAGGCTTAAAGAGACTTTGGGACCCATGGGAGCAATTCGTGAGGTGCAAGGAAAGAGTGATCGGCCAACCCCGGGCGTGTCGAGGTAGATTTTATCAGCGTAATAATTACAGTAACTATTCGGTCGTCACTCGACTTCTTCCAAATATATTCTACAGAGTTCTGTTATCTTAGCTGCGAATTGTCTTTCCACGTCCAATTCGTTACATGGTTCACTTCGCGTCCCAACGGACACAGAATGCAGAATCAACAGCCATAATTCGTGAAATGCGTCTCTATAATGCACGATCATTTATCTATAACGAAACAATCTATAACCAATTTTTTTCAAGCAAGCGATTCTAAGACTTAAGCATATTGTGTGATCTGCTCACGCTGTTCTTTGGTGTCTTCAAAATGTGCGCATCGGAATGCGTTTGTATAAACGAATGATATAAACAATTGGCCGTGTTCTTATCCGAGTCGAAATTGACATTTATTACCAAATAGGAAATAAAGGAAGTGTTGAGATGCAAAATAATGGCTATATATCGCTCTCTTCTGTTGAATGGAATGTGACGCACTAGTAGAACCATAAACCACGACATGAAATTCAATTATGTGAGTTACATAGTCACACTACTGAAATTGTGAAACAGTAGGCAAATAGTCTTAATGAATATTTCAAATTATTAAGGTAAGGTAACCATGGTTCCAGTTTCTGGACATTGAGCCATGGGCCAGCAGTATCGACCGATCAACAGCTATGGGGTTCCAATAGAAGCCGTGAGAGCCGAAGAAAGAAGACGGTGATTGGCTGATATTCGTTTGACCAAGGATATTCCCATATTATTTATTCTCAGTGATTTTTTTCAATGACCGAACCGCTATTTTTGTGGTCCGTTTCCTGCATCGCGGTAAAGAGAGATTCCAGCGTTAGTACCATTCGGTGTTTCAGTTGCTTTCGTGATTCAATATGCTTGCTTACTTTGGTTGCCACATAGCATCCGATGCAAGCGAATGATCACGATTTGCTCCTCTTATAGCCTGATATACACTTCCATTGCATCTTTCATTCTTTTAAGCAAGCGAACCCAAATGTAGAATCCATTTGTGTGACACTTTGTGCAAATGCATTCTTCCCCTTCAATGATCCATTAATCAAGTAGACTAATTGTTATACTTCGAACTTTGCTGAACAAAATTGCTTTATTTTGCTGACACGCAATTTGGATTTTGGAAACCCATTTTCTTGCCAATGGTTATATTGTCCGTAACGCATTGAAATCATCATCTGCAAAGCCCGGGATTTTTCCATGGTCAGAGAAATTTTACCAGCCACGACAGCAGACATCTACGGAATAGAATTCGGCTGCAGCGTGGAACTTTAGACGAACGAGCTGTGCTTAGGACGCTGGAAGTATAATCCCGCACGGCAATACATCCAAGCAGTAATCCTCTAATTTCTTGGATTCAGCACGATAGTGTTACTACAGTCCCGCTTTCCAAGGAAGTGTTCAAACTTCTTCGGAGAACCAAATCAACCGTGTTATCGACCCAAACGGTCTATCTTTTTTATAAATCATGGTTCTGCTAGTCTCGCAGACGCTTTTAATTCTCTGCTTAACACATCATTTGCCCCATATTCCATCCCTGCTCGTTAAAGATCCGTCATAATTACTCCTATTCCGAAACCTTGTGAATTTTGCATCCCATCGCTCAAACACAATGAGGTGTTCAATTGACAGAAAGTGCCATTCCCAAATTTTTGATTGTTTATTTCAGTACTCCAGCAGACCCTATTTATTTGCGTTCAAAACAAACATGTTCACTTTGGATGCTGTCGCTTCCCTAGTGCAACATGTAATCAAATCCCTAAGTTTATCCGCGAAACCGGTAAGATTTATTATTTTTGATTTTTCTTTCGACTTTGAACTTGCTTCACGTGACTTCCTCCTTCACAAAATGGAATCATTGGTCTATCCCAGACCGGCTGGCGTGAATAATTGGTTATTTCACAAACAGAACTCAACACACCCGATTGGGTACGAAAAGATCCAAACCACTCGTGAATGATTTTGGCGTGTTCTCGGGAGCATTTCTCTCAAACTTCTTGTTTTCCATCTTTATCACGAAAATTTCATCAACCAATTTTTTTTAATATGCTGATGACATAGTCCTTAGTCGAGCTATTTCTGTCTGCAGACTTTCAAAATTAATCCAGCAATCTGGTTTAAATTTGTTTTAGTCTATTCGATCTGGTCTGAGCCTTGATTTATCAGAGTAATCCATAAACATAATTAGTCTCTCCCGGTTCGTTTATCCCTATAAAACCTTCTTATATAAACACAGGATTTATAAAAAGCGTAGAGGAGTGTCCATCAATCCAAGATTTTAAAAAGCATCTCATATT